CAGAAAAGCTGCAGCATTTTTATTCAAGCTTTAGACTTGAGTGTTACTCTCTGCAGAGAATGTGTGGGTGAGTGCTCCTGAATCAGGCTGCATTTTCAACCGCTCATAGAAATTCTTCTCTAATTCAAGGTGTGGTTACTTTTCTTACGTGAAAGACCAAAATTCTATCATAATAATAAGTTATAACAACCCTGATGTGACCAGAGTTAAGCATATTGGCAAGTAGGAGATCTTAGGTAGCTATGGAACTGATGCAGGTGCATTTTCTGTGGAGTTGTGGAGTGTTCCTGGTGTTTCTCTGTGAGACTGGAACCTATAGGGCTAATTCTTGAAATATAGTGCTGTCAAGAGCTTTATAATAAGAAAAGGAGTAAGTTTCTTTGTGTTGTTTTTACTTACCAAGGAGACAGGATGTCATCTGTCTGCTTTGCTTGGAGTAGCTGAGAAGAACCAGGATTCAAAATGAGAACCAACAAGGTCTACAAACTCGTCATACACAAGAAGGGCTTTGGTGGCAGTGGTCAGTATCCATTGGTTCATAAGTCTTTGGGGGCTGCTCGTTTCATGATCAGTGATATAACTGGCAGTTTTCTATAATATTTTAATGAACTGTAAGGAAGCTGGTTTCCATTTTTGTTAAGCTTTTTCAAACACTTTTGAGTAATCTACTGTGTCACTGGTCAGAAGGTGGAAATATCATTGATAGTAGAATACAAACTAAAATGCACAAGTGCCAGTTCACACTTCTGTACAATATTAGCTTCTGTGACATAAAATAGCTTTAACACCTTTTCTGTTTTTCTTTTGTCATTTTGTTTTCCTTTTTTGCTATCCCTATTGCCTCTTGCTTAGCCACAGAATAGAGAGAGGCTGTAGTGGCTCAATTCTATTGTTGCACGTGGACTCAGATTATGTGGGTCTCGCTAGCAGGACCTGTGACAGGTTTTCCACTTTATTTCTTTTTGAAGTTGTGTGGAGATGGAGCCTTCCATTTATCCAGGAATATTTTCTACTGATCAGTCAAGAAGATTGATGGCTTCCTGAGAGAGATCTGATCAGATACCTCTTGCTCCTCCCTTGATCAAAGTCTTGGTCATGTTGGTCATAAGTTAAATAGGATTCAAAACCAGCATTTCCTAAATGTACTTTCTGGAGATTTAGATGTTTCGTTGTCCAGTCTCTTTGTTTTGTTTACTCTGTCACTTTGGGATCACAATCGCAGCATGTTAATTAAGTTCTGTTAATAGTCCTTTGTAATTCATTGTCTCCATACCAGTCTTTTTGAACAGAGAAAAGCAAAAGGAGAGTGGAGATTTGGGTTAGTAAGCTGAGACTAGTTCCTCTCACAAACCAATATTGTATGACAATCCTATGACTGTGAACTGTAGAAAGGTCTTTTCCCTGCCTCCCTCCATAGAATTATCCTGTTTCTTCAGTTTGGTCAGAGTTAAGGATGTACAGTGTGTTAATTAACAGATGGATATGCAGCACGTATACATTGTTAATTACCTGTGTTTTCATTTTTATCTGTTGATTGCAGTCTGCCTCACTGAAGTTTTCTTTTTGTCTTCCAGATGATGAACTAATGGTGAACCCCAAAGTGTTTCTTCATATCAAGCTAGGAGATGTTGTTGAGATTGCACACCCCAATGACGAGTACAGGTGAATTCTCTTTCTGCTAATATCAGTCAAGTTTAGCTGCGGCACCTAAGATACTAATCTCTCTTTCCTTTAGTGTGTAACAATTTGAAGAGTGAGTAGACATTGAGGGTACGTCTAGACTACAGGCTTCTGTCGACAAAGAGCATCTAGATTACAACCAGTTCTGTTGACAAAGGAAACTGCTTTGTCGACATGACAGTGTAGATGCAAAGGACAGTGTAGATGCAATGCCTTCTGTCAACAGAACTCTGTCGACAAAAGGCGTTATTCCTCGTAGAATGAGATTTACAGCTGTCAACAAAACTGCTGAGTTCTGTTGATGTTATGTCAACAGAACTCAGCGGCAGTGTAGATGCAGGTATAGTTTTGTCAACAAAAGTCCACTTTTGTCGACAAAACCCTGTGGTCTAGACACACCCTGAGGGACTACTGCGTATGCAGTATAGATATTTTGCTGAAGAACGCAGCTATGCTTTTCTGTTTGAAAGGAAATGAAGAGGTGACTTTATCAAATGGCCTTACAGAATTTCCTGGCCATACTTGGGATGAGTAACAGCTTTACTTGAAGTAGTTTCTCAGGCCTTTAGTCTCCTGGTATTTATTTTCATGCTGTTATAGAGTAATGATTCTTTAATCCCATGGATCCTGAGAAATATATTTGCATATTAATTAAGGATGTGAATGGTCAACTGGTGAGCATCACCCTTAATAGGTGATGATTAGCTGTTCTGGTTAACTTGTGGGGATTGGAGTAGCTCTTTGTCTATGGTGGGCCCAGAAATGTTGTAGGCAGAGGCTGCTCTGGGCGAGTTCCAATGTGTCACAAGAAGGAACAGCCCCTATCTGCAGTGGGTCCAAGAGGGCTGCATTCAGTGGCGGGGGGGGGCGCCCGGCCCGCCCCCCACAGGG